CTTTAATTCACGAGCAAAAAGCTACTCCGCTTCTTCTGCATCTCATGTCGGTGGCGAAGCTGTGATTGTGGGTGGTGACACAAACAAGGATGAACTTGGAAAGGAGACATGGGAGGAGGCCCAAGAATGGCCCAAGTTGCGTAATGCAGTACTAGGAGCCATTGTATTTGAAGAATTTTGTAAAGAGATTGCTGCCCTCTGTAAGGAGCATAGCATTCAGCCATAGTGATGAAATATCGTCTTTCTTATTTTTAGGAATGCTAAATTCAGTTATCATTTAGCAGTTATTTTTCAAAAGTATAAATTGAGACATATTTTCCATATTATTTCATTTTTTAATGTCGGTTTTTCTAATCGATTACAATATAGAAGTTAATTCCCTGTTTATTATCCTTTAAGTATACAAGAGGTTGTACATTTGCCAGTTCATGTCCCCCTTACCCTTCACTATTCATTTGCATTTGTTGTACATCAACCGTTTAGACGCACAATCTTTACCTTTATCGTACACTTTTCTGTATTCAAACAACCAACAAGATAAACAAGAAAGAGTCTTCTAATTAACTCAATCTCTTTAACCCTACATCGATTGATTTATCTCTTTAGCTGGGGCTATTAACTCACATTAGTAGGGAAGAATCGTATAAGAATTCAGATGTTTGGTAAAATTAAATTTTCAGATAGCTTAGACTAGTTTCGTGTCTGTAGGGTTTTTGCTAATTTTTCGAACAATACTAAAATGATCTGATGTTATGAATTTCAATTTTACATTTTTGAAGACCACCACTTTTATAAGGAATGTGTTAACTAGGCTATTGTGTCTTTTGCATAAACAGAATTGTCATTATTAACCATCGGATGGAAATATTCTTAGATATATATATCTTAGGAAGGCGCTGAGCTTCAGAATTCCCCTATTTATTGAAACCTAAGGATAAGAGAATATTTCCAGGTTAAAGATTGAATCTGATTCATCAAATTTAACATTCAAATATGATTACACTTTTTTTCTAAGCTCGAATATTATTATCTTTTGATAAAGCTAAAAGGCGGTGGGTTTGATGTCACTTATTTTTGTGCGCTTATATGATATTTTGATTGAGATAGAGATGATAAGAAATGATGAATCATGTAAATAAACAACCAAATATCCACTGTTTTTATTAGCTATCCACGGATCTCGAATTTTTAGACATATGCTTTATATAGTACCTGTAGAAGATAAGTTATTTAGGCTATAAATGTCTGTGGCCAAAATTCGGCTTCAAAAATTGATATAGCTAGTCTTAGGTTATTTTATTGGTCTTCATTTTAAATAGTGATGTTTCCTTCTACAATATATAATTTTGATCTAATAAATTTTGCCTGCAATTATTCTAATTGTACTAGAACGACTTTTCTAAGAACTCGCTCCTCTGTCTCATTATGACATATGCAATTTCTCATTAAATCTACTATTCAGCTTCTGCGCGAGATCGCATAATCATTGATATATTCATAGCTTGTTAATTGAGAAATTTTGGTATTAATTAAGAGTAATTAAAATTTCGTATTGTCTCTGGTCCCATTTACTAAACACCTATTTTAGTTTTACTTTTAGAGTTGGGCTGGTCTTTAAGATACGCCTCATATTTTTCTTAATAAAAATATGATAAGATAGTAATGAAGTCACTTGTATTCACTTTATAAGCAATGATCCAGAGGCCTTTGAATTAACTTTTGGTTTACCAAATGAATCGCATTTTCGGAACTGACTGGAAGGCTAAAATATCCTTTCTTAAAATTTATGCCTAAATTCTATGTACTCTAAGAATAAAGTGCAAAATCATTAATTGATACATTTATTAGCTAAGAAAAGATCCATATACTTTTTTTAGATTCTGAATTTAAAATATAATTTGACTATTCATCTACCTATAAGTTAAGAATGTAATTTAAGTTGATAAAGGGCAGAATATCGATAATTTTCTGTAAATAAATATGTATTTGTCGTAAAGTTAGATCTATTGACTCTGTTAAATATAAGATACTATGAAAATATATTAGTTTTTGATAAGAGCATAGTATAAAAGAAAATCTAAAGACTTGATCAGATTATTTGATTTTCATATGGTCAATATCATATTCTCTGAAATTATATTCACATGGGCGTGTGAGTGCTATGGGCAGAACTCACTTTCATAATACTCTTCCGATTACCTATCTCGTCTGTTTGGCGGCGTCTGCAAGCGTTTTGCTTATTTGTCAGGATCTTGCAACTAGAATTATTCAGGATACGCATAATTTACTTGTCTTGAAATATAGTATTTAGGTTTAAAATAAGGTATTAACTTAAATGTAGCTTTGTTCTTGATGTTTTTAAATGTCCCATTGACATAGTTTTCGCAAATCTCCATAATTAGTTAGCTATTAGTTGTAATGACATGTATTTTAATTGCTGTAAGGATATTGTTTGGCTTTGTGATTGTTAAAGCGCTCGAAATTGTTTTATGTTTATTTCTTTTGCACGGTAGCCTTTACTATCTTTTCTATTAGGCTTCTGTCCTCCACCATATGTGGTAGCTCGACTTCCAGGGCATGCTGTGTTCCATTCATCGAGTAGTCACTTTGTGTATTACTTCTAGTTTCTTCAGATGTTGAAGCGTTCTCACGTCGTTTAGCCCTTTCTATGGTCATACGTGCCAAAGGATGTCCTGACCAGGCACGCCGGGCAAGTCCGTTCGTTACATCCCAGGCAAGTAGGCTGCGTGCTTTTTGGCCAGCCTCATATGTCCCATCCAAGAGGTGTCCGAACCCTCCGTTTATGCATTCACACCATCCAACACCACCCCCATTGTGAAGGGCTACCCAGGTTGCCCCTCGAATTGCAGTTCCAATACAGTTTTGTACCTAAATAGTGTGAAAAATAGTATGCTAATATAGCAGGGAAAAATAATATGCTTATTTTAGCTCATTTAAAATAGGTAAATATAAATTAGATTCCGTTCATGTCATTATGTGAATTGTTGAGGCCTTGCCAAATATATTAGCTACATTAAAGGAAAAAAACAATATTGTTTGCCGTTTGCTTTCTAATGATGTATTTTTTTACATGTTTCTTCTCTTAGATGCGTTCTTAGTTGGTTAATTGGCACATGTTTAAGCATCATCACTAGTAAAATAAATCAGAAGAAACTTTGAACTGTCATTGTGACAGTTCAAAGCTATAATGAGGCTAAAAAGCCAGAAAATACTCAAAGGTGAAGCCATTTTAAGGTTTTAAGCAGATGGGCTGATGGGTGAGCTTCCTTCTTTTGGATAGCAGCTCAACGCCCTCTCTCCTTCCATCTTTCAATTAGGAATAAGTATTTCATACTCAAATTCCTATCACCATTCTTCACATCAACGTATTTCCTAATATACTATTCAATAGCCTCTCTTATAATCCTTTTAAC